GTCCTGAATGGAAATTTTTTTGATAAGCTTAAGAGTTATTGCATATACAGCTAATGTCACTGTCTCCTTCTTGGTTAGTACAGATCTTTTCTGGAAGGTCTGTTTCATGGTTTGGATTTCTCTGTTCTTTGTTATCATATAATTTGAGGCTGTGAGATTTTTTTGTTCAGCTGAGGCTAAAGCTAACAAGGCTGACTTGAGCGCTCACACAAAGTTTTCTTTCATCTAACTGGACACCACCTTCTCAACAGGTCGGCTGATAACCTGCAGAGAAAAAGACCCTATTCAGCTCATGTTTGGCTAGTGCAGAAGTGTCGTGGACTTCTCTCAAATAGAAGCAAGGGACAGACAGCTGAAGGAAGGAACAGGGAGCTTAAGGTGTTGTCAAGCCCTGCATTCTCTATTTTTTTTTAACCTTATGAGAACTCAAAAGCACAATTGAAGGCACGCATGCAATTTCATTTGGAATCCTGAGTACTTAAAAATATCTTGCTGGGGATTTTAGACTTAGTAAAGTGGGGTGTCTTATTTTGAGACAACAGCCAAACTCCCACCCAATTGCTTGCTCACTCACTCCACAGCAGAATATGGGGAGAAGACAGGAAGAACAGGAATGAGAAAGACTAGGTGGATATAAAAGCAGGGACATTGACTGACTGTAGCGCAGGCTTGACTTGGGAAAAATTACCCTAATTTATTACCAATTAAAATAAAAATAATTATTTATTCAAGTAATGGGAAAAGAAACCTCAAGCTAGCACCTTTTCTGCCTGGCTTCCATGCTCAACTTCACTCCAGACTCTTCTACCTACCCCCACCCTCCTGAGCGGTGCAGGTGGGATGGGAAGGGGGGATTACAATCCATAGCCAACTGCTTTGTTTCTCCTTCCTCCTCACGCTTCTCCTCAGCTGCAGTGTGGGCTTATCCACAGGCAGCAGTCCTGTCAGGAAAATCTGCTCTAGCATAGGTTCTCCACAGGTGGCAGTTCCTTCAGGAACCTCCATCTGCTCTGATGTGCTCTGTAGGCTGCAGGGAAGATCTGCTCTGCTCAGAGAACCTCCTCCTTTCTCTTAATATTCCCTGTCTTGTTTATTACTCCTTTTTTTCCCTCTCTCCTTCTCCCTGTAGCTATTTTTGCCCTTTTAAAAAACAAGTTATTTGCTCATCAGATAGATTCACCTCTTGTCCTGCCAAGGATCCCTTGCAGAGCTGCAGGAGCTGGCTGTGTCTGGGTGAGGACCCTTGCACAAAGGGTATCAGTTGCTATTATCTCTACCAAAACCTTGCAACTGCATCCAATGCAACTAGCATTGCCTAGAGTGGAGTGAGTTTTCATGAAATCTCTTGTTTCAGTGCTTTTTTATTCATGTACAGGAAGATACACCGAGTGATTTATGACTGAATTTGTCCTCTAGTGGAATAGTTTGGATAGTGCTCTGGTAATGTACTATTGCCCATGCTTGAGTTAGTTCAGCCATTAAAACCGACTTCTAAGGGAGGAAGTGTAGAAAATTCTGATCTGTGATTCTGATAGTTTCAAAACAAAACAAAAAAGTTGCATTGTATCTAAATTGTTCTAGCATGGAAATATCTAAAATGTTACCAACTGGGTTACCGGTGTCTACAATTTGCGTCACTGCCTTGCAATTTTGTTCTGCTGGCTGTATCATATACTTCCTCAGCCTTATCCGAGTTATTGGAGATTTACAGTGTTCTAACAAAACTAAACCTGATCATGTCTTCTGTTATTGTGAGTGCTGTTGTAACTGCTTCAAAACAACAATCTCATTTAATAAAAACAGCATGGCAGTCATTTATAGGTCTGCAAGAAAGAATAAGCCCTGCTTTTTTCCTGGCTGGATTGGGGTGTGAAATAGCAATTGTATCACAGTATTGCATACGTAGGTAACAACAAACCAATACATGGCACTGAAGCTGACAGCATTTTGTGTACATTTTTTAAAAAATTACACCAGCAAAAGGGAGGAACACAAATAACATTCTCCCAGGAACTATTTAGAAGAAAACATCATTGCTGGACGACTTTTCTGCCTATATTCAAAATGAATTCACCAGTCTTTTGTTGCCTTCAAAGATGTATAGATAAAGATGGTAAAGAAATAAACAATCTGTTTAAGGTACAAAAGCAGAGGCAGGTTTAGGCTATTGAACCTGAGCTGTAATCAGAGGGTCTTCTGGTACTTGGTATATAAGGGGATTGAGTGTATCTCTTCTGCAGGATTTGTCACACTTTGTATCCCAACAGAAGCACGATATATCTGAGGTAAGTTTTGGTTTTCATCTTTTTCATCCTTCTACTGCTTTATAGTTCTAAACCATGGTGTTTCAGATACTAACCTAAAATACAATCTACAGGGTAATATTTGTGGACAGTGATTTTTCTCAGCTCGTCGAGCAAACTTATATTATTTTTCAAGGGAAGTACATATATGGAGCATAAGACAGAATTTGATTATTTCGTTTTCACTTCTGGCTTGATAAATGTTATTTTCCTTTGGCTTTTGAAGACAAACAGGCTTCATTATATGTCAAGATAGTTCTTTCAGCTTATAATATTTTCTTTGGAGTTAAGCATAGAATTTGTCAAAACAATGCTTTTACAGAAAGGTTTATCCAACCCTTCATGTAGCTTAGCTACTCTTTTAACCAGAGATAGTACATCTGTCTATATTTTCTAATGTTGTTGATACTAAAAGTAAAATGCTGCTCTGTTGTAAATGTGTGACTAAAATTTTTAAGTTAAATTGAGAGTTAGACCGTAATAACTTTTCAGTTTTAGTAGTTTTATGTTTCACTTAACTTCACTTAAATTCCACTAATTTCAGTGCATATGTGAATAACTGGGCACCTGTGGGAATTCAGGAAAGTCTCAAGGTGTTTCTCAATTGTAAACAACATCTTGACAATACAGTAAAATCATCTGTCTACTATTTTGGAGGGAAAATTTTTTAAATGAATTTTTACTCTTTTCTTTTGCATTTAAGGAGAAACTTTTTTAAAATTTCATTTTTATTTTTATTTTGAAATAATTACTGAAATAGCTGCATTACCTCAATGATACTGGGTACTATATGGTTGGTATAAGAGCTCCCTCTATAGGTTTTATTTTAAATCTCAGCTTTGGAAAATAAAGGAAATTCCACTTCTTGTCAGTCCTTTATAAACATATTCAGTTGACCAACATTACATGATTCTTAAACAGCAGGATTTTATGGAAAAAAAAGCCATCGATGTTACCAATGGTTAAGGCATGAGAATGTAATAGATTTATTATAGATTTTAAGTTTGTTTGTACAGAAAATTATGCTTTTAATAGCAGCTTGATAAACGGCATAACTTAAGCTGCTGTTTTATATAGGAGTAACACAGCATTTTCACTTTTGTATTTACATTTTATACAGCCAACAATGAGGTGCTAGTCTGTGTCTCGTGGGCAGGTGCTCAGTGCTGTGGTAACTTTCATGTATCCAGTTGCACGTAAACTATTAAATAGCTCTGTTCCAAACACAACGTTGTAGAAGATTGTGTTATATGAGATTTCTTTTGAATGACTTAAGTGGTCTTCATAAAAAAGTCAGCTGGTCTAACTGAACAGCTGACGTGAGGAATAGTATTAGAAGTCTTCATGAACTTTTCTTTGTATATAAGTATTAATTTGGTATAAAACTATTAAATAATAGTTAAAAATAAACATATCATAATCAGCATTCTGAAATTTATGTCTGTACTAGTCTCCTAATCAGCATTTCTCATGGGATGACATTGTACACACAGAAATAGAAAAATTGATAATACTTTAAATAGAAATGTTAAGCTCTGTACACAGAAGTAAGGGATTATAAAAGAAATCTTTCTTGGTGTTCATATCATAGCATTTGGCTTTCAGAGATGAAAATGAGGGCTATATACATGCATAGAAGTAAATTGTTTGGTTGCAAAATAATGGAATTGTTGTGGTCATTATTACAATTAAATACTAATTAAATAGTTTGAGGCAATCAGTGAGGGTACTGAGCTGGAAATAATTCTCATTGTATAAACTCTGGATAATATTTTCCTTGGATACCACTGCTGTTACTCTGGATTTGTAAATGGGAGAAGAATTTTGCCCATGGTCCGGTTAGAAATGTTCCGTATTCTTAAGAAAAACTAGAATGGGTCAGAACATGCATATATTATTGATGCTTCTAGTTCTGATTGTCATGCTGTTCATATAGTTAGCAAATAAACCCATATTAGATTTATGATGGCAAGAAAAAGTCAGTTAAAATGTCTATTACTATGCTTTTGAATACTCTTCCAACTTATTTGTAAATAGGAAGCCACTAATAAATCAGAATTGGCTCATGTGTCAAGCATCTTGTTTATAATAGCCACCTTCCTAGTCTGCACAGTTAATTCTGTCACTAGGAGCAAAAATATTTTAAAGAAAAGTTCACCATTTTTGCATTTTAGAAATTTAATAGCTGTATAAGGAAAACACTGTTTCTTTACACGTGTGCAGACCCTGAAACCTTCTTGTCAGTGACAGCTAGAAAGTACATTGTAAATTATAAATAAACATTACAAACAAAGTTCCTGTAGTAGCTATGCCTTCTGAGAGGGTCTGAGGATTTTTAACATCTGAAATAGTGCAGAGAAAAATAGAACAGCCATATTTAAGTTTTTATCTAAATCTGCTACAAGGAAGTTATTTTGTCACAATGTCTATTTCTCTTAGGGATAGACTTGTGGTTAAATAATCCTAATTTTCAGAATAAGGACATGCAGTCTTACCAAAGACAGCCCAAGTTCAACTATGTTAAACCTAGAGTTTTATAGACCTAAAAAATTGTTTGTAAATACAGATTGGTATAAAAATCTTAATAGTTTGTGAAGCAGATTCTGATGTGATTGCTTGCAAGAGTAAGGAAGTGGATTTCATGATCCTCACATTCTTTTGTCTCATTCCTAACTATATTTTTCTCTTTTATTGCAGCCCAGAAGATGGTGAAATCCATCCTGAAATCTGTAGACTATATATCCAGTTGCAGTGCTGCTTAGAAATGTACACAACAGAAATGCTAAAGTCTATATGTCTGCTAGGATCACTGCAGTTTCATCGGAAAGGTACTGAATTGCACAAATACACAGATGCTTGTTTTAGAAAAAGAAGTCTTTTGGGGTATGTCTGGGTATTCATGAAAGACAAAACACAATCCTGGTTTTGGCTGGGGTAGAGTTAATTTTTTTCATAGTAGCCATCATGGGGCTATGTTTTGGCTTTGTACTGGAAACAGCGTAGATAATACAGGGATTTAATAATTTCTAAACCCACAAGAGGTCAAGGCCTTTTCAGCTCCTCACCCCACCCCACCAGCGAGGAGGCTGAGGGGGCACAAGGAGTTGTGAGAGGACACAGCCAGGACAGCTGACTCCAGCTGATCCAAGGGATATCCCAGACCATATGACATCATGTTCACCATGTAAAGAGGGGAGAAGATGAAGGAAGGTGAGGATGTTCAGACTGATGGCATTTGTCTTCTCAAGTCATCATTACATGAGGTAGCCTTGTTTTCCTGGAGATGGCAGAACACCTGCCTACCCATTGGGAATGGTGAATAAATTCTTCGTGTTGCTTTGTTTGCATGCATGGCTTTTGCTTTACTTATTAAATTGTCTGTACCTCAACTGAGGAGTTTTCTCACTTTCACCCTTTCAGTAGTCCCCCTCATCCCATCAGGGGTGAGCAAGTCAGCAGCTCTGTGGAGCTTCATTTATGTCTGAGGTTAAACCACAATAAACAGCAAACTGTAAAAGGAATCATATATATCTGTAGATAGGTTTTCAGTTACTAAAAAGGAGCTCTATTTCTGTTTATCATCATTACAGAAGTGTGCCTTATCAGATGTGTATCACTAATGTCCTCGTCATTTAAAAGTCTGATTCTTTTTTTAAAAAAGTAGTTCCTTAAGCTTTAGCTGTCATTAATCAGACAAGTGGACAGACTTAATAGTTATTAGACATATTTGTTGGGTAAGTTATGTTATTAACAGTGTTTCTGTTGCTGTTAGTTTTCCTATCTTATTGCTGTTTCCAGTAAATTGTTCTTATCTTAACCCGTGATCTTCACCTTTTGTGCCTCCAATTCTCAACTCCAGCCTGTCCCAACAGAAAGAGGAGAGGGAGAGAGTGAGTGGCATGTGGTTTGCGAGAATGTCAGTGATAGCACTGAACTGGGGAGTATCATTCCTAAAAAACTAGCATAGCAAAAGGTAGATAAATATGGTTCAAATGATGTCCACCTTTATAAAAGCAAATACTAGACTTGGAACTGAAAGGAGATGTCCTCACTTCAGTGAAAATGCATCTCTCTAACCATTTCATACTTGATTAGCTGCCTACTGAAAGGAAGATGTAGAAATGCTGATAATTTACTGAATAGTTTACTTAGTAACCTCATTGCTCATTGATGGCACAGGCTGATTAGGGTTGTATCTGTCCTGATTGCAACTACTCTTTTGCCAGACAGTATCTCATCGATAAAAAACTAGGTAAAGCAAGACAAAGTCTGTAATGAACTGTAATAAAGGTTTTGTAATGAACCTGTTGCATTTCCTGTCATGCTGAAAGGTCCTGTAGTGTACTTTTCATATCGAGCTGTAGAATACTGCTAAGGCCAGGGATATTTTTATTATGAAAGTAAGAATGGGAGATTTGTAAATGCTCAACTGAGCTTCTCAATTATCTTCTCAATTAAAAAATAAGTCTATAAAGGAGGAAGAGAGAAAATTAGCAGAGCCTTTGTAGAAAAAGATAATAGTAGCTGTCAAAATGAGTAATCATTTTTAAGACAGATTGTACTGCATTTGCTAGCAGTGGCAACAGTTGTCAAACCATCTTCTAAACTGCTGAAAGTAAATAGCTTAAACTGACCTGTGTAACTCTGAAATGTGTTGTCTCTCCCTTTCGCCTCTGGATGGAATCTACATTAATAAGTTAAACTAAACATCAAACAATTAGCTGTCTAAAGCTGGATAAGGGGAGTTACAGCTTAGTTCCTATCTGGCAGTACTTTGCTAGACATTAGCTTCTCAGCTCTCTACAGAGTCATGGTAGCTATTCTGTCCTTGCCAAATAGAGAGTTTTAGAGATAAACACAGTAACTTGGCTCCAAGCTTCCGTGACATTCTTTGAAAAAAATGCATAGTAGGCAAAAACTGTATGATCACAGGGATTCAAATAATTTGAATATCCAATAGACAATTGCCTTTTTGTATTAAATATTTAGTATTGGTAACACCTAGAAGTATTGCAAGGGCATCATGCAGTGGTGGAAATTCCAGTCCTGTGTTAATTGTTTTTTCACCATGAAGGTAGCTGCACACTAGGCAGGCACCCAAAGAGGCTGTGAAATATCCATTCTTGGAGATACTGATAACTCAAATAGCCTGATGCAAGCTGGCCCTGCATCCCAGTGGGACGTTACACTGGGTGACTTTGCAACCTATTTATTCTATGCTCTGACAGAACATATCATTTTCGAAGGAGCATTATGAACCCATGCTTTTCATTGTTTTCTTTACTTACAGAGAATGATACTTTAGTGTAGTCAAAGTGCGTAAATCTAAGTCTAGGAAGGAAAGAGACAGTAACTTCACCTTTATAAACTATTGTGATGCTGCTGTTTATAGGTTTCTATTTCTCCACCTGTTTAGATTTTCACAGGTCTTTCATCATCTGAGTGACCATATAAAAAAAGTTTCTTGTGTACAAAGAGTGCTGCCCTTACAATCTTTGCTTAACCCCTAAGTGTTCATGTCTGCTGTTCTTGCTGTGTCTTGAAGCTACTTTCTTGAGAGTAATGTTTTTCATTGGGATATAATATTTCCCTTCTTTAGCCCTCTTTCCTGCCTGACAATTTGTTAGGTTTTTAAACATCCCATGAGGTTTTGCCTGTTCATGTTCATGTTCTTACTCAAGACGCAGCAGAGATTCAAGTAGAATGACATACAGACTGTTCTTGGCAATTTGTGGCTAATAATAATGTGGCTATTGGTACCTTAATCAGAATTTATCAAACAAGCTACAGAACTGATAAAACTAAGGCAGTGTGCTGATGTTGATGTTCTTTTCCCAAGAGAAACTCAGCCAGTAGGAATGAGATGTCATTCTAGGAAAGAGATTCTCATAAGGAAACACCATACAAATATTTGAAGGTCTGAGCTCTGGGTCTTTTGACTGCCTTTCACTGCACATATCTTCTCATATCTCCTTATCTTTCTTTTCAACTGGACAAATATTCCCAAATATTCCTTTATTTGCAGTATACATATCAGTCTTCCTGTGCAGAAATTTCTTGCATGTTTACAGTGCTTTAGAATAACTTACTGCTGTTATAGAACCTCTACTAGGAAAGTCAGTCAGTCTGTTATTTCTTTGAGACATAACTGCCACAGTGGGGCCAAAAGCCATAAATACTTGCAGCTGTGTTATGCAGTAAGTAAACTGAGGTAAGTGCTCTTCAATAATTTTTTTGTAAGGTACATACACTACAAAAGCCCAGTGTTGAGAATATATAATGATTCAACAGTTCAGCATTCAGAAAGTTTGCAAAGGACACAAGGAATCATGCCTAGATATCTTTAATTCAAATGTTTGTACTTACTAAGTCTTTGGCTACCTGATCATTTATTCTATTACTCCTCCCTTTGATAATCCCAGGATTTCTGGCTAACTAATATGCATATAAATACATTCTTAGACATACATCTTTCTTTTATCCTAATTGTTTAGTGTCATATAGTTTATTTATTGCACACCATGAAGAAAAAATTACAGTTATAATTGAGATGTGTGAGTCTCACCTGACATGTATAAACACAGGTGAGGACAGAATGATAGCAGCACTAACCAAAGTGATAGCTACCTGTAGAGTACAAAAAAGGCAAGAATTGAGCCTTACAGGAAAATCAAGCTTGCATGCTACTTGTGTTTCATGTAAGAAATTAGGATAGTTAATTATTGTATTGTGTGATAACAATATGTGTTTCCTTAAAATAGTACCTAAAATGATAGCTTATGTTATGAACTACAAAAATAAACCCTCAGTTCAGTGCAGAGATTTTTTGTTTTTTGGCTTTGTTTAAATGAGCTGGGTTTTAGAGTTTTGAAGGGGAAAGGAAGGATTGTTTAATGATTATGCTACAATCTCAGTGTTCTGTTTAAAGACTGGTAGATATGTTTTATTACACGTATCACTTGTGCAAGAGTGTAGAAGAGCACACAGGTATGGAGAAACAAAATCAAGAGACTCACCCCTTCTTATGAGGAAGCCACGGAATGGAACAAAAACAGCCATGGAAGGAGGGTAACACCACTTCTACCACAAAATTGTTCCTTTTGAGGATTGATAGACATGGACTCTGTCTATGCCAGCAAAGCAGACTGTTTATTACACCAGTTTACCAGCATTTATAGGTCACTACATTCATACAAAATTTTTCACTCGGACCCCTTTGTCCCAGTCCCTTTAGAAACACAATCTCCTGATTATTCTTCTTATACTAGTAATGTCCTTGTTAGCTCTTTTGCTGGCAAAGTCCTTGTTACCTCTTCCCTTGTCAGAGCAGTCAGCATCAGAGGGTCAGAATGCCCAGACATGATGTCTTCACTTCTGTTCTTGCCTTGAGTTTACCTCTCCCATGGCTTCCACTGTACCAGGGCCTGAAGGTCAGCAGCACTACCCAGCTCAGCTTCTGCAGATGTCTGATCTCCAACAGTTCCTTTTGCATTTTCTTTAATAACAGTATGTCCAGTGAGACAGTCTTCAAGTTCTGCAGGTCCCAAGTGTAAGTGAAGAATTAAATTCATCAGACTGTTAGCCTTAGTTGTCAAATACCTTTTTTACTTTCTACACAACTCTTTCCTATTCCCCTTTCTAGGTCGTGTACTTTAGCTGTGATATATAGCTTGTGCATTTATCCTTAATTGCCAGGTTAGAAATCTGATCTGAAATCTGAAACTCTGCCCTCTTTTTGAGGGAGGAATTCTCTCAGCTGTGTTAGTCTGGTGTTCCCCTCAAAGATCTCTAGTTCCTCTGCAGTGAAATCTAACTAGCACTGAGGAACATACATTTTTTTGTCTTTTCATTTCTTCATTCATCACAGTTTCTGTGCAAATTAGGTGATGACTAAGAGTAGATACCTAGGGTTGCATGATGGAAGCAAACACAGAGATCACCACAGAAGCAATAAGGGGCACAACAGGTGAGACATATAAAAACATAATGTATTAACCTTACTGAACTGACAATTTTCTCCCCTCTTATTTATCCTCACTCATGTTTGGTCCTCAGCATTATTTAACTAAATTGATTTAATTTCTTATCAAAAGCATTTTCTGCTTCTTAAAGTTAAAAAAAAAAAGCTGAATCACTGGTGAGAAAAGGAAGAATACATCATTGCAACTAAAATTATTAAAAATCTATCCACTGACTAAATTGAAAGTAAAATTTAGGGTTCATATCCATTTTTTCTGAAGTATTTCTGACAGTAAATATCCTTACCAGCCACTGTAAGAATGAAAAGATTTCAAAGCTTTTGTGTCCCTATAGGCTGTGACCATGGTGGAAACGTTAAGCCTGAGTCATACATTATTCAAGCAAAGCCTTTATTATTAGCTGACTCTTTAACTGCTTTCAAGAGACTGAGCAAATGATCTGAAATTCAAGAAAGGCTTCATGAATTGCTCACAATACAACAGAATTACGGGTAAAGAGTTTTTTCCAGTAGAAAAGAGATCTGTGTCATTCATTCTGCCAAGAGCTTGTGCTTGTCTTTGTGCTGACAAAAAGAACATTATGGTCTCTGCTTCTGTTCTCAAGCTGAGAAGAAGAACCTTTACTATTATTTCATCTAGTGCTGTTACTGTTTCCATTGAAACACCTTTCACATCCCTGAAGGATGCATCTCTACGGCATGTCCCCAAAGGTCAGGTCAGGGTTCCACCCTAACAGTTAAAAATAATGGAACAATCCACTTATATCCATATCAGTGGCAAATAAGATGGTTTACCTGGAACCTTTTTAGTGAAAAAGTAATATGTGAGATATTGGTTATGTTATGTTATTGTTATGTTATGCTATGCTATGTTATGTTATGTTATGTTATGTTATGTTATGTTATGTTATGTTATGTTATGTTATGTTATGTTATGTTATGGACTTCTTGTGATGGGAAAAAATAATGAAGCTTATATGACTGAACATTGAAAACTGTACCATATGAACCACCTTAAAATAACAGCATAAGCTGCAGTTAAGGACAATAAAAATTTGAAAGTTAAACCTACAGGGTGATACAGAATAAAACATGTAGTCTTGCAAAGCAGACTTAGTCTGCTATTCCACAAGTAATTGTGTCATCCTTCAGCATAACAGCTTTTAACCAACAGAAAGGTGGTCTTGGTCTTATTCTGTCTCCCCTCCCTTATAATGTCTTCACTTCTTCCTCCTTTCCACTGCTTTTGGAGAAGGAATGATATGATCATCCTTCTCTGGAACTTCCTGGATGTGTAGGGGTTTTGACTGACCTTACTTAAACCACTTCATCAGAAAACATCACATTTTATTTTTCCTTTTGTTGGGGTAATCTATCATTTCAATAGCTAAAGTGGATCACAGGAGAATTTGGCAAAGCACAAGTTTGCAGCGGATGCCAGTAAGCAGCAAAAGAAGGACACAGGAGATTCTTTTATAAATTTGTTGTAGTCCGGTCATGCACTCTCTAGGATTCGTTTAGGTAACTGTGGGCTTCCTACTGGCTTTAAAGAACATTAAAACATAAACAAGTATCTTCTGTAGCATAAGCAATATCTAGTTTGGCACAGGTAGCTAAGAATAACTTTTTTCTTATTTTTTTCAAAGGAGTAATTTACCAGAGTTCAACTGTTTAGATAGCTTACCCAAAAATATCTTATGATCCAGGAATTTCTAGATTTTAAAAAGCAATGTTACCTGCCTGATAGCATGGATATATATTTGTGATGTGGAAGAGCAGTATACCATGGTCTGCAGTCTTGGTCTCTGGCATCCCAGAAAAATGGGCTGAATGATCGATGCTCTATTAGCTGGTCTTGTTCTTCATGTGCTTTGTCAAACTTTACAGGAACTGCTCAGATTTGTCCTGATGTCAAAATTTTTCCAACTGCAAAAATTGTGAAATTAAAAAACATTTCCTACTCAACCTTTTGTACTACTGTTTTAAATGTTGACACTTTTCTGGGATGCACTTAAGTGTGAATTTTGTTCTGTATTTGGTGCCAGAATTGTACTTGCTACTACAGAAAAGGAATGCTCTTGGGTAGTCCAAAGGAGATTTGCAGGTTTACCAAAATATCCTACTGATGCTTAAGTCTCTTTCATGCTCCATTATCATGATCCAGTCCTTTATCCCATTCTCTTCCTCACAAAAGCCCTGGAAGATCTGTAATGAATCTCCCCCTTCAATTTTAACACTATATTTAATTTTCATACAGGGAGCATGAATTAAGTAGACATGAATACAGAAATGTGGAATGTAATGCATTTGGGCTGTGGGTGGAATTTATATTGCTGTTAAATCATAAGGTACAAAATTTCACTTTTTTGTCTTTTGTTTTCCCTCAGTATTGCTGTAGTACTCGGAAACAGGAATTGCAGTGTTAAATTGTGTCAGAGTTTTGAAGTTTTTTCCAGAATGTGTGATGTAGTTTCCTCGCTTATTTTGTTCTGTTTTGTCGTCTGTCTTTTATTTTTGTTCCATGAGAGCCATTGGAGTTTAATTGAACCCTTTCAAATTGGTAAAAGTAACATATGGAAGCACTCTGCTTTGTAACTTGGTGTGGTTTACTCTGTTTCTGAACAGTTCTTACTCAGAGTTTGCATTTAAGCAGTCTTTTTCTCCATTTGTATTGTACAAGGTCAAGTTCAAAGCATCAATTAGATAATCTGAGTATCCGTTTTAATCAATAAATAATAGGGATATATATTTTGTTTAAATATTTTAAAGGAAAAGAACCCTGTGGCCCACCCAAGATCTTAGATACTAAAGCGGAGGAGAGCTCTGAAGTACCTATTTTAGAAGACACGTCATTATCACCAACAGATATTCAACAGCATCTATGGCAGGTTTCCACAGATATTGAAAACACTGAAAGGTATGTGTAGTACTTCATTCCTAAACAAACAAATTTCTTTCTAGGATTTATTTAGGTTTGGGGGGATTTTTGGGGGTTTTTTTTGTATTTTTGTTTTTGTTTTTGGTTTTGGTTTGGTTTGGTTTGGTTTTGTTTGTTTGGGGTTTTTTTGTTTTGTTTTGTTTTTATATGACAGCCAGTGATGCTACTATGAAAATTATAAGTAAATTAAATAACCTGTTAACATCTCTGGTACATTCAACAGAGTTTTTGATTTTGTGAAATATGCCTAAAATGTGCTGGACTCCAATTCTGCATTTCAAAATCAAAAACACATAATCTAATTCACTTCAGTTAGTTTTAAAATACAGTTTTAAACTTGGAAGTTTTAAGAGCAGAGGAGGAAATGTCATAGTGGTATTATCTTAACCTCTCAACTATGCAGTTGAAAGACAAAAAATGAGACCCTTTACTAAAGAGTGATCCTGATGGCCAACACTTATTTGCAAAAAGTCCTATTTTGAGGCTTTGTATATTAAGTTGCTGCTTAATTTGAATTGTTATCATGCTTATTTACATGAAGCCAATTTCTGTTCTACTGGGCCATAATATGGAGAATAAACAGAGCAATTTTTTACTAATCACAGTGCTGCATTTCTGAGAACCACTTTATGTGTAGATGAATGAAGCAAGACCATATTGTTTTAAATCCTGAAAGCATTAAGACTGTAGGTCTGCCATCTATGTGTAAAACGGAAACAATTTGGAAATTTCTGGCCTCTTTCAAAACATATCAAAATGTAATTTGCTTTCAGAGATGATGTGTTGTTATTTTATTTTCCATCATCTGCCTTTCAGAAAATCAAATGCCAGAGACCTTCCAAGGCAGGTGAGAGTGATAGCCCTGTTTCTAAAATTTTCTTTTAATGTGCAAGTATCATGGGTTAGTTACATGTCTTATAATTTTCTTCTGAACAATGAAACACATTCATGGCACAAGCTACAAAATGCTAATAAGGGGTATGAAGATGATATTAGTACTAGCTAATATTAATTTTAAGACATATTGTGTATTTTGCCACGAGGATCACATTGTGCTCCCAAGGCTTTTAATATGAAATATTCAAGTGCCAGAATAGGTCATAAATTTAAACCAGGAAAGTTAGTATCAGACTTTCATAAAAGTGCTCCCCTATTAATTTTATTGATGTTTCTTTGGTATTCATCTTCTGATACATGTATGTAAACCAAATGCTTGCTCAATAGATTTTTGTATTTATGGCTCCAATGTTTTAGCATATAAAGTTATGCTGTGAGCCATTCCTCATGCAGTTTTCAAGCTTTGTTCTATTGTATCTTTTTTAACTGTTGTATCCACAGAGATATGAGGGAAATGAAAAACCTTTTAAGTAAACTCAGGGAGACTATGCCTTTACCACTGAAAAATCAAGGTAGGTTTTGAATTTTCTTTTTTGAATAAAAATTAAGATAATCGAAGGATTTTCCCTCCTTTATATACAAAAAATTCTAGGGTTCTTTAATGGAAACTATAAAAAGAAAAATCTAGCAAAATCTCTTCTCTGCTGATTCAGTAGAGCCAGAATCTAGTACATAATCTTTGGCCTTTTGAGTTTCATGAGGTATTCTGGAATTTATAGATATGGTATCTGTATATAAAATAATAGACTTTTTCTGGTGATACAAATGCAGAAGCACAGCTACTTCCAGTGTCTGTAGTCCTTCTTTCTCAAAGGCAATGAAGGTGAAAATTGCACAGACTATGATAGGGATCCTTCTGAGTGGTGGGGTTTGCTTCACCCCTACAAGGCTTGTAGCTTCTGTGACTGACTCTCTGCAGAAAAGCTACTTGCCTTGAGTCTGCTTTTCCCATAGACAGCTATCAGGCACCCCATAGAAATGCACAGGTGAGCAGGATCTCCATCCTATACATCTATTTAGCAATGGGCCTTCATTTTGTTGGCATGTTAAATACTCCACATCTACAGGCATTCTCTCTTTGTTCATGAGAAAAGCATTAAAAAGAGTAATTTTCTTTTTGATTTCTTGATAATGGGTGCCCAGTGCACAGTGGCAGCTGATGAAATGTACTGAATGTGTGCTAGATCTCATCCCAAGTAACTAAGCAGCCTAGCATTCATCATAATATGCTCTGAGATGAATATAGAATGATTGTATTCATTATGCAAGTAAGATTTAATGCTAGGATAGCTTGATTGAAAACTATGTTGAAAGGAAAAAGGGAATCACTTGTGATACAGACATACCATTGTAAAGTCTTGGAAGAGTGACAAAAGTCTAGACTTTGTCTAGAAGAAAAGAGTGGAAATAAGAAAGGGAAAGACAAATTGGGGGGATATAATGCATAGAGAAACTTGAATTCACAACAGAGATAAAGGCATAAGAATTCTTCTTTGTTGCATGGTGTCTACATTGCCCTTCAACACTGACCAGAAAATCTCTGACCCCCTGCATAGCAGGATAGAAGCCATCCCAGGAATTTAAAACTGAGATATACCCCAGGCTCAGATAATCATAATTATTACGGAGATCCCGTTAATTAGCATTGTAAGACTCCCAAATGCAAAATACAGGTTTTCATTTGCTCTGTGCTCTATAGGATCTAACATATCACAGAAGGGGTTGTCAGGCATTGTAATGAATGCCCAGAGAGGTGGTGGAGGTGTTCAAGAAAGGACTGGACCTGGCACTTAGTGCCCTGGTCTGGTCGATGTGGTGCTGAAGTTGGACTCAATCTTAGACATCTTTTGCCACATGAGTGATTCTGTGGTCATGTAGGTGTTGCTAGGACACGTAAATGATATAATCTCTGTGCCTATGTGTACATGCTTGTGTTAAAATGTGGGGGTTTTCATCACAGATGATAGCAGCCTCCTAAACTTGACTCCATATCCACTCGTAAGAAGACGGAAGAGAAGATTCTTCGGATTGTGTTGTCTTGTCTCCAGTTAGAAGATTAAGCACAGAAGCACCAAGGAAATCATGACTTTGATTAAATCACTGAAAAGATGAAAGTGGCTAATCTTGATTATAAAGTATATTTTCTACACTAGGCTATTCATTTTTGTCTTCTGCTCCATCCCCCTTTTCACATAAGTGTTTTAATACGTTCAAATTATGGTGGTCAAGAAATGGCTGTGGAATAGATCTAGCATATTTAAAACTTCTTAAATTATGTTTTGCATGCTTACTTTCAATCACTCAAGACACATGAATTAAGGTTCATAGATAATTTTAGAGGGTTTTTTTAATTGTTTGAGCTGCAGCTAAAAGTTTGTGCATAGTACAGTACTCTTACTAGTATCATACTAAAATCATACTCTAGCAGTCTTTAAGCATAGGAAACTATTTAAGAGCAAAACAATTGAAGTTCTAGGACATTCAAACAATATTGTAACAGAATTTGTACAAAATTTCCAGTTGCTTTTTGTGCTCTCATTCATATTTAGTCTTCCACTGTATCTCAACTTCAAAGCTTTATAGAAAATATCTTAATTTATGATACAAAAAACATATATGAAAATAGTTAGGACTTGTAAATACAGAGAAATCATAATATCTACAAACTGTACAATGCTTAGAAGCGACAGATTTTCTTTTAAGCCAATAGTATATCTACAAGCTTTTGGGGAAAAAAATAATTTATTAAAAGAAGGTGTATTAAATTAAACAATGTAAAACACAACACCAACCCATTTTGTTGCCAGTAGAATTCAAAGCATGGTGTCTGCATATCAAGTATTGATCTTATAAGGCATGCCAGAATTATCTCAGACTGTAAGATATTAAACGTTTTACATTGTTAATAAAGTTTTTTATTTAAATTAAATGTTGTCTTGTTTCTAGTTATATTGCCAGACTATGTATTTCTTCTAATTTTGTTGTCAGAGGCCTGCACAAATTTGTAACAATATTTCCATTTTCCGATTTCAATTTTCCATACAAGTATGCTTACAAAGACAGATTAAAAAAATATGCAGGACTAAATTCTTTAAATAGCACAAAAAAAAGATAATTTCAATGTGTTTGAAGATTTCAGGTCATGAACTATTCTCAGGCGTACATATTCCTAAGCATCTGAAACGGGGAGATCCCTAGACACACAAAACTGTGCTTGTGAGAGCAAACAACATTTTTAAGAAGAATGGAATTGGAGTCCACAGCACAATGTTTTTTCAGAGTTAGTTCTTTAAAGTTTTCTGCACATTTCTCATGAACCTTGTGCTCACTGATCAGAGCTGTTGTCCGTAACAGGCAGCACTGATGTGTTTTCATTACGAGTCTCAAAGCAATAGACTAATTCCCAAATGACTCCATCCCCACGGATACACTAGGTTTTGCAACTGTTAAAATTTTGGAAAAACAATCCCTGGTGTCTAGTGGCTATTAAAAATACTGTCTGCAAAGTTGATCAGTAGTTACAATTAACCAATTAATTTTTGTTCAGCATGAGTGAAAAAGACAGACATTAATGCCAAAAAAACTTATGAATTCAAGACTGAATGTATAGTGATGCCATGAGAAAGAGGGGGAAAAAATTTCACGCAAGCTTTCTTTAGAAGTCCCATTTTATTGGTACACATAGAGAATCAGATGGGCAGATGAAGCAGTGACCTTGTCTAATTCATTACCTGCACATGTATCATTACAAGGAATTTCCTATGCCACATTACATGGCACCTTATATCTCTGTGTTTTAACCACAGCTGTTGCAATGGAATATTTATTAGTAAGACATATGTATAAACATTTTAATTAATATTGCAAAGCTCTTGACATCAGTCAATCACAATGAGTTCCCTAACTTCAGCACATTCTGTGATTGACTTGGATATGTTGTCTTCAAAACCCTTTGAGATTGCAGTAAAATGAAGTGTACAGTAATATGCATCCTTGTACCTTTTGTTACTCTGGAAACTTTAGCAGTGTTTCTTCTTCCTCAATTAAAGACTACTAAAATTGCAGTCTTTGCTCTTTTTGAAGCCTTTCTGTAATTCTAAGCAATCTAGCATCTTACCTGAAGCCCTTTGTATTATACTTTCTACTAATCCTAATGGACACATGCTGTAATTCCCAAGCTTTATGGCCACTTAAGGAATATTGGTGCTCAAGGGTGAATGGAAGTTATCTTAACATATAGTGACATGAACCGTATCCTGGAAAGTATCTGAATTGAAGAAGTATCAAGGGATAAATCGGTTTACTTAGGAATGCAGCGGATTATCTTTTACTAATTCAAAAGCAAACAAGAAAATTTCTTTTTAAGCCCTAAAACATGATGTTGGTAAAAGAAAGATGGAAGCTAAGGATATTACTACATTTTAGTTTAATGGAATAGGGCAATGTATGATCAACATTTAAAAGCTCCCTCAATGAAATGATGTACAAATTATTTAGAGACTATTTAGGACCATAATTTATTTCCCAAGTACTTAGAAATACCCCCTACTTCACAATAAACTCCCAAATGCATGGAAACAAGCAATTCAGGGAGAATACTGAGGAAAGCAGCACTTGCTTCCTAAATCCATCTTGGAGTTTGAACATTTTAGTTGAAAGTGTTACGAATTAAAGGCAACGTAATTCTTTTGCAGGGTAGGAAGCAAGTAAAAATTCCTCTTCCCACCAAATATGCCAGGTTCACCAACTCTTTTTTTTACTAAAACTTCATGCAGCTCCAGCTTTTCAAAACCAGATTCTTTATAGCCATCCTCCACTGGTAGCACCCATTTATCACAGATATTTCATGTCATAAAAAATACCAATCTAAGAAATCAAATATCTATGTACACTATAAAGTCTAATTTTTTCAGAGCAGAATCAAAATACAAGCTTACAGCAGTAGACAGCGTGCTAACACATGCTGCAGGTTGCATGTTGGCTTACCCAGAATGAGAAGTTACCATGCAAAATCTGCATTAACTTACATAATAGGTCCTTTTATATCAAATACAACTTTAAAAGTTTCTGTTATAGAAAGGGAGAAACACAATAACCAACTTCTATCTCATCTGAGGAATAAATATATAGTGGTGCATTAAATGCCTATTGATTTTACACCCTTGTAGTGGTGAAATTCCTTATTACCTCTGTAAGAGATATCCTACCTATTGTCCAGCCTCATGGACAAGAGGCAAGAGAAGCTAAAGAAACATCTATGTCTGCCCGTACTTAGTCATAAGTGACTCCAGTCAATGAAGAGACTTGTAGCATTATGTAGTATCTGTGGTCGTGTTTAAGTTCTAGGACTTTGAAGGCACTGTCTGACATGCAGGAAAACCTACCCTTTACCAGCAGAACCAACCTTTTCTGCTTCAAAAAGAACTGAGCTAGGCTAAATACAGGTGGGCAGCACATATTTTCTAGGGATCATGGTGTGGCAAAAGTTATAACAATGATTTTTAACTCTTCTACAGCTGAATAATTCATCTCAAATACAAAACTATTTTCCCATAGCAGTTTTACAAAAATAGCCCCAGCCATGTTTCAAGAGGTATATCTTTAGTCCTTAATTGGTGGTTGTACCCTCTAATGTGGTGTTTGGTTTTTTTCAACTTAGGCTGTTCCCAGCATATGCATAATCTGCTGATCTAGCCTAATGTTGCCAGTCTTGGACATTTTAATGCCTGAACTCACTTGACTTTGAACTGCCAGTCTCCATCTCATTAGTACTTTGAGCCCTTACCTCGTGTTTTTGTGTAAAATTTCTTGGAGTGGTATTTCTCTCTTTCACTTTAAAAGAATTTATTAAGTAACAGTAGTAATGGGAATTCTGATGTCTAAGAGAGCACCTGTTTCTGTTTGTCCAGTCTGTTGCTGTCTAATGCAAATATACCTTCATTTGAGCCATTATATGTACTCAGCTCCCTCTTCCAGAAGTTATTTCTAGCTCTTCTGAGACAGCAGTTCTTCAATAAAAACAAAGTTTTTGCCAATTTTCAGCCTAAATCTACTCCTGGACAATTACTAACATATAATGTGTTTCTTACAGGTCAACTTTATTCTTTGTTAAAATTCTCTGATGGTCAAAATTCTGCCAGGATATTCTATAAACTATTCTACTAGGTTAAAGCTTCAGGAAAAGACATAGTACAGATAAATACAGATTAATCCTTATTAATCCTCCTTCACAGTACACATTCTCTGTGGGACAAGTATTTAGCTTACACAGAAAACTGTAAATAAACCATATCTTGAGTACATTTTGCTGAAGTTTAAATGAACTCTACTAAACAGCCTTTTCCAGACTTTTCTCCTTTATTGTGATTATTTAAACTATAACATTGCTTTTCTAGATAAACATCTTCTTCTGGTCTTCTTTGTCTCTCCCTTTTTTCCTCCTGAATCCCCTTTGGTTTCTTTATTCTTGTACCTCATTTATTTTCTGCTACCACCACCTCATCTCATGTTCTTCTTTATCACCTAAATTCATCTTCGTAGAATTTCTTGTGAACAGCGTAAATATTCTGGCATTTTTACTATAGAAGCATTTTTGACATATTTTTCTCTGTTCACCCTTATTTATTGTGATTTGCATCTTAGAATTTCTACTAATGCCTTTCTCAGGTACTACTGCCTGGATGCAGAGGCATTGTATTAAGAGGCACCAAGTGAGTGTTTGCCAAAGAGTGTGATGTGTTCTAAGTTTCACAAGGTAAGATAGGTTGGATGCCCAAGACATGGCTATGTCAAAAATACCTTTTAAAAGCTTCACTGCTGTGTAGACTTCAGAGCACAACTGAATCACTGAATTCATTCATCAGTTGAGTGAAAAAGTTTGGGATGTTTGACATTCTGTTTTGCATACACAAAGATTGTGTCCTTTTTTGACTAGGGAGAGACGATGTGAGGAATTCCAAAAGACGGTCCTCTAAAAATACATCCCAGGAGTTCCTAGAACTGATTGTTACATGAAACAGATAACAAGCACCACGTCAGATTCATTACTCAGGATACTTTTCAGAGGGACCTGCAGCTATGACATTCTTCCCTGTAGTCAAGTACAAAAGCACTGAGTAAATAGAGTTCAATATGCATTACCTCAGCAGCTTTCATGGCCTCGAAGAACAAGCCTGTAAATGTTACTCAGTCCAGTCCAAATTCACAGCTAGATGCTGCAATTTTTTCTATCTATAATTGCCTTGCTGCAATTCTGAGCTATGATTCTTCACTATGACTTATTTTTGAAAGAAAAAAGAAACCAAAACCTTCCAGCTATAGAGCTGCATAATAATACTGCATCACAAAGAATTTATTTTTCTTTTTGTTCTATCTCTTGGATACTTATGGCTAAGACTTTTGTTTGTCCATCACACATGCTCCCTTGCAGACTGCACAAGAACCAACACATACCATTAAAGAGAGCTCAGAATACAACGGAAGTATCTGACCAAACTGCAGGAAATACTCAGGAGAGTCCTGTAAAGAACACAAGTTGAGCCTACCAAATAACAAAATCTTAAAGTAATATTTATACAAATTTCAATGGTAGTAGAGCTTGTACTTGCAACACTGTTGCCTTTTGCCCAACCTGGAAATGAAACTAAAGATAATTTTAGTAAGGAGGTAATGTAAAATGGGATCGCTGTATCAAGACCTTCAGGAGCAGTTACGGAAAAACGTCCACAAAAGTTCATCCTTCACACAGGGGAGAGTACGTTTTTATAAGTTTTAGGAAATAGGCATAATTGATAAAAAGCATCAGTTAGGAGGACAAGTGGTGATGCAATGCCCCCCCCCAGGTCAAGCCCCTTCTCTGGAGGCCCCCTTCAGCACTAGTTGTACTTTGTCCATGGGAATGTATCTCAAAGAGTTGTTCTCTGCCTTGGTTCCCAGAAAGAACCAATAATAAAGGATTGGAGCCTTGTACCTTCTGGGGCTTGGAGCTCTGGAATTTGTTTTGTCTTTCTGCTTAGGGAAAGGCCATGGAAAAGTACTGGGAAAACTAGCTACTAACACAGTAGGTGACAAGAATTACAAATGTAAGTGTGAAGAATACAGAGAATATAGAAAAAAAAGGCAAAATCCAAATGACACCAACACAGGAAACCAATATTAAATTGCAATCAGTGATGTATGCACCACTTTCCTCACACTGCAAAACGATGCTAGTAGCAGATAAAAGACTTCAGAAGTTTAAGATTATGAAGATGGCAAGTATATTGTTAAGATGCCTCTAAAGACCATGAAAACTACTAAGCATGGAAGTATAATTTTGGCAGAATCTAAAGAGAAAAATATTACCGAATTGCTGTTCAACCATCCTAATCTGATATGCATTCAAATTAAAGTAATACTTGTTAAACAAAATTGTGTTGAAAATAGTTTTCAATTACTCTAGGTAAACTGAAAAATATATATACTCTAAGTCATGAGAGACCAAAAGGTTTTCCTTGGTGTCTCACAAGTTGCAGAGAACACTGAAGATATAATTTTTGTGCTGTGAATGTGTATTTCCTTTCGCTATTTGTGAAACAAGCTTAATTCAGTTTCAATTCAGTGATTCCAGGCTTTGGTGCATTTTACAGCACAGTTTGTTTCTCAGCTTAGCAGCTCGATTGCCAGTGTGCACATTCTTCTTCCACTACCTGGGAAAGGTGACTGAAGGAAACATCAAGTATCTGCTTTTGTTTCCTGGGGCCTATTGACAGAGACTGATTTGCATTTCAGAGTTTATTATAAGGCATATGGAGGTTGTTAACTCTTCATTACTCTATGCATTTGGCATGCCCACCCCACATACTACTCACGTGCTTTATTCTTGTCTTTCTTTCTGGAAATAGGCATTTCATTCTGTAGCTGAGATAAGCTGACAGGGAATGGCATCACCTTTGTGTTGCAAGAGCTTTGGAGCCTGCAGAGAGCAGGGACACAATCGCTATTTGGGACTGTACAACAGCAGTAGTTATGCCAGCGTTAAGCCTTGGAAAGTGTGGTTCATGCAAATTGAAGCTAATAACAATTGACAGGAATGAGGAAATATCTAAAGTTTAATACTAGAAGTCTTGTTTTGATATCCAGACTCTTACATCTATGTCAAAGATGAAATGGCCATAACTGTAAAAGAACAAAACCCAAAGAAAAAGGACTTTAAAAATTGATAGCTTTTGTTTGCTTCTCTTTATCTTTAGCTTGCTTATAGCGATCCTGCCAAAAGAACGTGTAATTATGCTTCACAGTCTGACAGGTCAATTTTAGAAGATAATTTTGAAGGCTCAATCTTATTTAACTTCTCATTGCTTATTCTTCCCCTCTCAGGACCTGAACTCTGATTCATATTTGCACTTACTGATTAATGCACGTAAGCAGAAAATGTTGTGTAAAACATACATTTATTTAAAGGGTAATAGAAAATCTTACTTGAATTTCCAAACTTGATGTAACAATTCTGACATTAAATCCATATCATTCCACACAAATGATTCTACAGAATTCAGTTTTCTACGCAAACTGAAATTTACTGCATCCTACTGTAAAGGATTACAAACACAATCACAACTGAACTAAAAATTAGAGTGAAGAACTAGTTGCAAGGTTTAGTACTAAAAAACTTGAAACAGAAAAGTAGATTTTTTTCATAAATGGTCCATTTGAAGCGCTGATGTATGCAAATAGATTTCTCAAAAAAAAATATATATCCCATTTTACAACAGCATTGCAAAGCATAAATAAACCTGCTATGAAAGGAAAATCATCTTCTTGGCAGAAATGAATGCAAAAATAGACCAGCATGTCAGTCACTACTCGAACTGTCTGAACTGTTAGAAGATGAACTTTTTTCCTTTCGTCTCTTCTTTTTCTCCTTTTTATGATGCTTTCCTTTCTTAGATTTATGCTTTTTCCCCTTTTCTTTTTCTTTTTTGTGTGATTTTTGTTTTTTTGACTTTGGCTCATCCTCTTCTGCAGAACTTGACGAGGAAGATCTAGTGGAAAAAAAAATTTAAAAAGCAGATCAATATGTAATTAAAGAAGGAAAATGACACAATTTAAGTTGTCATATTTTCATAATGTCACAAATTGAAATTGGTTTAGAACTTAGTAGCATCCACTGGAAGGCTTATGATAGCTGAGTCTGCATGTTTAACTTAAATGATAACATTCCTAAAAGACTTTCATGCCAGAAAAGCAGTATGTTTATAATACACATTTAGAAATAATGGAATAGGCAAGTTGTTTGGGTTTTCAGTCTTTGAGAAAAGAAGGACCAAGAGCACAGACCATCAAAAAATAAAGTATGACAAGACAGAGCTTCTGCTTTTAAAAGGGCTGTCTTTAAAAGTGGAAGTTTGAGCTACTTAATGTAAATAAAGAAAAGGAAAGATGCAAATACAACAGGAAATAAATCCTGTTTTTTTATTTCCGAGGGACATCTTCTTGTGCTCTCCAAATACACTTCACAGTTTATGCCTTCCAGGGCAGTTTCTGGCATATTATCAATTGTTCTAATGACAAAACAGCAGTCTCATCTGTAGTCTCACTTAAAAAAAAAAAAAAAAATCCCCAAAAAACCAAGTCAGTCTACCAGCCAGAACTCAGATTCAAAACTGAGGTTTAATGATGTTTTCCTCTGAAACTGAGTAACACTGCTTTTAGGCTTCTATGTTAGCAGGTACATTAAAACTCAACAGCTGTTCAATATTACAGAGGTTTTCCTTTTAATAACTGCAAGTTACTCAGAGCACACGCAGGTGTGCTTACACATGCATGTGTGCACACAAAGAACCCTACAGTCTCTGAACTTCAGAGAGCCTTCTCACCCTGGTTAGGCTGGGGACCAACCCCACAATCCTCCTGACTTTTTCTTTTCCCATCACAGCTTGCCTAGAGTTGGAGATTCAGGGGGAGTTCTGCTTTCTCTGATCTGCAGACCTGCAGCTTGCTAGAGCTTTCAGACTCCTATGATCCTAATTCCATGTCAGAAAGCCTGGGACTCTGCCACTCAAAGAACCTTTACCTTACCATTATTTTACCACTACCTTACCATTAATCAGTTCTGACTGGAAAACTGAAAACTTTGCAAACAGAAGATGTACTGGCAAATAAAGCTGCATCAATAGGAGTATTTCCTGAGAAAACACAAGTATCAAAATTATTTCTAAAGCTGTTTTTTGAAATGAAAAGATGTGTGTGATGATTACCTTTTCCTTGGTCTTTTTAATTTTGTTTTCTCTTTGCTTTTTCTTTTCTGCTTCTTTTTTTCCTCCTCTTCATTTAAATCTATGGGTAGAAAGTTAAAAGTTTACAAAACATTTGTCTGAATTAAGATCAGCATTAAAAAACTAACTTCAATAGCAGTGTTCAAGTTACTAAAAATTCTTGTTAAAAGACTTTCTTTTCCTTCCTCCAAATTCTGGTTAGTATAGTAATTTCAGAAATATATTGCAGTAGCAGCAGGATTTCTATGTACAAATTACATTGCATTGACATTGATCTAAGCACTAAGAATGCAGGAAGACCTGTAAAATGTAGCAAAAAGACCTTTTCCTATACATTTACATCAGATTCGGGCTTTCATATCTGTTCCTCTACATTTTAACAGTTCTAGCATTTAACATATTATTGTCCAAGTCTGAAAACAAGAACAAATTTTAAAAAAATACTCTGTTAGGCTTCCCTGAATTACTTTCACACATCCCTGCTTCATGCTTCACAAACAGCAATGCCATGAGACACACTTGAGTTAACTGTCAATGTACTGCCTATAGAGACTGGCAGAAGAGTCACCCCTCATCTGGCTGTGTGCCTCCTGCCCTAGTGCTCTACAGTGTGATACAGCAACTTCACATTTCACTTACAAGCAATGTTTTCATGACATAGATGTAATTCCTGGCCTTAGATTTTTCTACACCAGTTCAAAAACCACTTTAGAACTCTCCAAAATACTGGCTTTACAATTTATCTTCAAAAGAGAGATAAAATTTTGAGTATTTCATCTTACTCCTATGACCCTTTCTATAAAGTTTGAATACTGGTGTAGTTATTCCTTTGCTAACACAAATAAAAATTATTGCTCTGTATGTTATGGAGTGGAACTTGAAAGATTTTAGTATGACATAAACGAGCAAATTACCTTTGGAGCAATGGAAAAACATGAATGAGAATGGGTGAACGAACAGTATTTTCTTAAGAAAATTGTGCAAAATCTTGAGAAGATGAGAAAACGGCAAAATTCTGCCTGGATAACTGACAGATGCATTTCTCCTTACAATACAGGTATCAGCCACAATTTGCAAAAGGATATATAATAAGCAGCAATATTAGAAGATCAAGTAAAAAGCTGTTTTTCTTGCAGATATTCATCTTCAATCAGCTTAGGACTGAAAAAACCCAACCTTTATATTCAAAAATATATAAAAAGTGTAAGTGTTTTTCCAAAGAGACTTGTTCCGAGAAAGTACCATTGCAGTACTAATTCAGCACTCTTGATAGACAGCCTATCCATTTCTTTTGAAGTGTACAGCTAACCATAGGGTTCTATCGATCCCTTTTCCTTCCTAAATAGCATCTCCTGTAGGAACTAAATGTCAGAGCATACAAGTGCAAGAGAACAAAACATAATGAAAAACAGGTGGGCAGACGAGAAGAATGTTCACTCATTTAAAACACACTGTGGTGGAGCAAACTCCCTTCTTACCTAGGTGAGCAACCTTTTTGGAGTCCAAAATCAAATAAACTCAAGTATCTAATAAACAACTCATCTATTCTCACTCTGACAACAAGTTGATACTCAGACCTTCCAAATATAGAACAGTACTTCTCCAAACATGAATGACTGAATTCCAAGTTACTAGCTGTTTCAGTCAAAATCCTACTTAGAAACTTAGAAGTTCAGGTGTAATGTTTCTCATTAGTTAGAAGATGTTTCAATTGCACATCGTAATCAAAAGACTAACTCAGAACATCCACATCATCTTCTTCTAAGTACCTTCTTAGTAAAAGATCAATTTATCTCTTGTATTTAGGAGCCCCTTTTGAGATGTTCAAAAAAGGCACATTAATAACTTCCTATAGAAGGAATTAATCTTAATACTAAAAAAAAGTGGGTGTACCAAATCTCTGTCTGAAGTCTGCACACAAAGTAAAAGACCTATTTTTAAATCACAAGCTAAGAGAAGTAAAAGTAGTTATCAAAAAGAATAAAATGAGAGAGTCCCTGCACATCAGAAAACTATTATCCAAAACCCACAAAAAACACCTTACTCTTTTTTTCACGCATGGCTTGTAATCTCTGTAGTTCCTCTTCCTCGCTGTCTTCACTGCTAGTGCTGCTAACGTCTAGAACAATATCTCTTTGAGGGTCTACTCGGAGGAAGTTTCGACATTCAAATGTCAGATGACCAGCTGACCAAAATAAATATACAAAAAGAAAAATTACAATTTATCAAAAAACATCAAAAACTAAAGAATACTGATTTTTGTATTATTCAGTTTTGAGAAGTGGATGGAAAAAAGGCAGGCTGTGATCTGTGAAAGGGGCAGGAAAAAGCTTACTTTGGAAAAGTCTCCAAGAACTGTAATAGGTTGTGCGATGCTCTTCCATTTAATGTGTTTAATGGCTTCTCTCCTATTCTGCTAATTTGAAGATTTTTTTTAACTTTAGTTTTAATGATCTTAGACACTTTCTTAAGAAATTACCTGAAAACATAGCATGAAATATTTCAAAAACTGCACTATGTGTTGCATTGCTTAACTCCCTCTACTGACATTGTAGACTCCTATTTGCTTATGAGACATAATCTTTAACAACCAGTGCTTAATATGGACTAAACTACTGCCTGACCAGTATTTTTAGTTTTCTAAGTTACATCTTGATAATCATGACCAACTAGAAATGCTGTGCCGAATTTACTCATTGAAATAAAGTGAAATTTTAAAAAATGAAGATATGGTTAGCAAGACATAGTAATTCAAGAAGTAATTGAAATAAGCTCATGTTCCTAGTAAGAATGTTAAACTATCTACACCTTGAAGACAGAGATTTTAGGAACATGTAAACATGGATCATGTGATGTGACTACAAGTTTCATTCTCTTCCAGAAAGTTCTGAACCTTGCTTGCATGGAGAAACAAAGCACTAAATCTGTATTTATAGACACTGTTCTTTGCAAGCACAGATACACAAAGCAATTCATTGACAAAATTTGTTGCAAAACCTAAAGTGAAAGAATTAAGCAAGATTTTTCCTATCACCCATTTAATGCCCATAAAAAACCCAAACAGCTTAAGTCACTGTGCTAAAAGTTCAAGATAATTCAGTACAAAACAGTGTTTATTCCTCCAATGTTCTAAAAACAAGAGTCAGTGACTAAAAATCTAAAATCTTCACTAAGACCTGTCTCCATTAATCAGGAAAGAAGTCACAGAAACTTACAATCACTGCATAATCCAAAGCATGAGCTAAATGCCAAATGCAGAACTTGAAAGCAATAAAGGTAGCTGTTTCTTGAAATACACAAAGCTTATACAGACTTTAAACTATTTTTTCTAGTGAATTAGATTGGACTTAAACTGAAGTGCCTGCCTCTTTGCAAGAAGAAGCACAAGTGCTCATCTCAGTATATATCAAAGAAAGGTACTTTCAATTCAAAATTTCTCAAGTAATTGCATTGAAATGTAGTATGTATGAATATAATAGCATAATTTTTTTTTTCTGAGAAACTCAAAGAGCATTGATAAGTGTGAGAAACCAGAGGATAAATATGAAATAAATAAATAAATAAAATAATATGGTTATTTAAACAGGCAAATGCCTGGGCAACAAGAGAGAATACTTCTTTCCTTTTTTTCCCCCTCTCCTCAAAAGGCAGTTCCAACCGACATCATAAACTGAAGAAAGCACTGTAATTTCATATTGCTTATTATACACTTACGGTAGCCACACTTCTTGCATCCAGCTCTGATATTATCCTTATTTCCACCTGAAAGAGAAAATGTCACCAGTTAGGTGGTGCTGAAAAGAACCTTCGACTTTCCAGTGTGGCTTGACAATGTCAATACAGACAGAAGTGATCACCTCTCACAAGTATTAAGTACACTAAGATCTCTTTAAAAATCTGTATTCTAAGGCTACTTTTCTGTGCAGTAATCTATCAAAATACCTTTGACTAGTTTAAACTGCTAGAGATCATTTATCCTTACATAATTTACTGCCAAATCCTAATTTGACTTATTGTGACCTTTCCACTTGTTCAGTTAAAATATGAACACAGTAACAGACATCTAACATTCCAGTAATCTGTAGCACACTACACAAATTCTAGCAGTGCGAGGATGTTGACAGGCATTCACTGGAAACTCTGAAGTGATTTATATTTTCCTTACAAGAACTGACTTTACAAGGCAATTAAAAGGACCAAACTAAATAAAAAAATCACTCTTGAAAAAAAAGAAGGGAATAAAAAAACAATTTAACAAATCGTTAAATTATTCTGAATCCAGATAACATGACACCAAATACAAAGAATTCAAGAAAACAAATGTGTAAGAAAGTGAGACAGTAACAGAAAAGTTTGGATTCTAAACAGGAAGAAGGATCTGAATAATGCAAATTTTAGATATTGAAAGTGTGTGATTTTCCCATGTGAGACAGCAGTTAAGTTAAACAGACACAGTAGGACATCATTCAGGAGAAGCATCAGGGATTTGCCCCACCCCCTAAGAGATTAATACTAATTTTAATAATTTAAGCCATTGATAATGAAAGTGACAACTGAATTCCCAAAATCAAAGGATGCCATTCTATCTCCCAACTGAACAGGGCAGAAAAACCCCGGTGACTTAAGCAATCACATACTATCAGAAATAGAATACATTGGCCCCATTAATTTAAACTATGATTTACTGAAACAAGCACTATCTTTAGAAAATTCTACTCAAAATAACAAAAACCTTCGAACTCCAAGTTGAAAAAATATACCTTAGAAACTTGGACAACTCAGGTGTATGCCTTAAAGAGTACTGGAAAGCCAAGCAACAAAGACCCATACATTCCATTATAACAGGCTATTTTCTGCAGATCCCAAAACCTTAGTATTACATATTCCCTTCAAGGTCAGCAGCGTTCAGGTGCCTGCTTTTGTGACTATCTTTAGAAGGACACCCATGAGAGATAACGAGGTAGGGAACATAGAAGAAAGAGTCATAAAATGGAAATCAAAAGCATACCTGTATCTTACAATGTATCATCAGAGAAACACTCAAACCAGCATTTGCTTGTTCACCACCCCTTGAAAACAAGGTCACCCAAGCTACCGACTTTGTCTCAACTTGCTGAAATACAGAGTCAACCTCGTCCCCAACACATAGCTGTGGTATAGGTAAAGAAAGTTTTGGTATTCCAGCCAAGGGAGGTCAGCACAGTCATGTGTACACTAAAGAAATCTCCCCTGTAAGTTAGGATCTACAAAAAAGATACCCAGCAGACGACAAGAATGCAAATATTCTCATCAAATATTCCCACCAAATTCCTACGACTGAAGTTTTATTATTGTTTTTGGCTTTAAATAATAATGTTATAGGCAGGGGTTTAGACTAGATGAAATTTTAAATTATGAAAAGCAAACAAATGGCAAAGGCTTTCTTTCCCACTCCTTCTTCTTCCCGTATCTTAATTCTCAATATAATTAACAAGTGGCACAGAACTAAGGACTTCATTGACTCAGTGAAGTATAAGATTGAAAAGAAAAGTTTTGGAAACCTTTGAATGCAAACATGTCTTCCTCAAACACCCCTTCTAGAATGGGAAGCTTATGAAGGCCTTCTCTTCATCAGAGAAGCAGCTCACCAAATCTCGGGCCTATTCAGCTGCTCTCGAACCAAGCACTCGCCGTTTTTCAGGACGAGGGAATGCTGTGAAGCAATGGCGATCATGTTCGGCCAACACAGACCTGATACCCGACAAATCGCGCAGGTGTTTCTGCCTGCCCTGTCTCACAAGAACAAGCTACTGGGATACAAGCGTTAACCCTGAACGACAGTGGAGGAGGAAAGCCAAGTTTGACAACCACCTTAGCTCTAACGTCAGAAGAGGCGATGTGAACGAACGCTGGGTCACCCAGAAGCTCGGGGAGGGGCCCTGCAGTCCCAGGAGAACGCGCCCGCAGCGCCCCCACGCTGCCCCTGCCCAGCACGGGCACGGCCTCACCTCCATCTTTACCTCCATTTCTACCTCCATCTCCATCTCCATCTCCCCGCCGCTGGCCCCTGGCAGCGCGGACCTGAGCATCGCCCGTCGCCCCCCGCACGCTTCCCATCGCCGAGCACGACCGCGCACTCCCCGCGCAATTGTCCCAGTTCTGCACCGCCCCGCCGCTCGTTCCCGTCCCCGGGCTGCCGGGCCGGAGCCGGCCGGCGCTGCCCCTGCCCCGCCGCAATCCCGGGCGGGAGCCCCTCACCCGGCAGTGCCATCCCGCCGCTCTCTCCGGACCGCACCGGCACGCACGCGCAGCGACGCCTCTCCCCGCCGGAAGACTTTGCCCGGCGCACTCCCGGACTGTACCACTCCCAGGGAAGGCAGGGGGCCTCAGCACCCTTAGGGCGGGAACTACGGTAGGTCACCACAGATGTGTGGAGAAACCTGCAGATCTTTCTGAAAACACTCCCTTTCTCAGTCAGTCTGGGAGAAATTCCAGCCGAAGACTCTTTTAGTCATTCTTTCTTCCGGCTTGTGCAACTTCATCCCCCCTTTCCTGGGCTGCGTACAGGCGCCCAAGATGGCGGGCGGCTCGAGGCGGTAGGAAGTGTTGGAGGCAAAGCGGGGTCCAGCGTCGGCCGCGGGGGAGGCTTCGCCGGCCGGGCCGATCCTTTTCCCGCCATGAGCAACATCTACATCCAGGAGCCGCCCACCAACGGGAAGGTGAGGCTGCCAGGGTGAAATCCTGGAGAAGTTATCTGTTGCAGGGTTATGGGGGGACAAGCGAGAGGAACGCGAACTTAGGTGGTGATGATGATGATGATGGTGGTGGTGCTGGTGGTGGTGACGGTGATGGTGTTTGAGGGTGGGGAAGTCGTTGTGGTGGACTGGTTTGGTTAAAGTTACTTATTTGGCGCTGCCAGAGTCAAAGCACGAGGCATGGTGTCTGGAGATAGAACACAGAACAGTCCTCGGAGCGTTTAATTAAATTTCTTCTATTCCCGGCTATATCTTAGGTCCTTAATTTTGTTATGATCTCTCATTGAATTTAATGATCTTTCTTTTAAGGGCGATACCTTTGGATATTTATGGCTTTTTTTCCCCACGTTGTTTCGTTATGGAAATGAGAAAGGGTGTCTTAAGTTTCTATAAAGTATCAGCCGCGTTATGTTATGTTATGTTATGTTATGTTATGTTATGTTATGTTATGTTATGTTATGTTATGTTATGTTATTACAGCTCTTATGTATCTTTATTTTATATATTGATTCGGAGCTGTATCTTCAGGAAATGCTAGTTAGAACTAACAGCAGCTACCCGATACAAATGCATACATCTCTTAAAAATATAACAAATTCAGATTTATTTATTAGGCAGTTATATTCTGTGATCAGTGACTAAGTTGCAATAAAACTGAGGCTGTTTTTATATGTATGTTTATAGGTTTTGCTGAGAACTACAGCAGGAGAGATAGATATAGAATTATGGTCAAAAGAAGCACCAAAAGCATGCAGAAATTTCATCCAGCTATGTATGGAAGGTAATGACTGAATGGGATGGGAGATGTGGAAATTAATTCACGTGCGATCTTTGTGCCCTTTCTGTAAAATAGAGATTGTAATTATGTTTTGACTTTAGTATGTCAATAAGTTTATTTCTGTTTAGAAATTATTCATTAGCACTCAGACAGTGTTTTCCAAGGTTAACAATGGAGCTGGTATAGAAAAAAAGTAAAAGTTTTGGATGTTTTTTTCAAATTAAGAAGATGACATCATAGTGAAACGTTGTCTTTCCAAGTCTCGAGAAGGCTTAGTTTCAGCAAATGTCTACAAAATATAACAACTTCAGTGTGTATGTGAAATGACAGTGACATTCTCCAAAATTCTCATTTCTGCATCACAATTTACACTACTCTTTCTTTTTTTTCTTTCTGACACTACTATTTTTTTTCTTTCTGTGAGTGTTCATAATGTTTCAGGTGCTGTATTTCTGTGTTGATGAAAGCTCTGTAAAACTTTCCACTGAAGTAGTGGGTACCAGAATGAAAAGCTCCCTACTGAGAAAACTTACAAAAATCTGTGAAAGATTTGATGCCTTTATATGTTTTCTAACTGGTGCTCTTCTCTCGTTTAAGCATTTATGGACTTGTTAAGAGTTCTTTTAGCCTTCATCTCTTAAACAAAAATAGCAGTCTAGGCTTTGTGCCTCCAGCACAGATCCAGTCTGTTTTGTATTCTTTTCCCTAATACTGAGACTTTTTGCAATGGTAAAGGAATTTCTTAGCCCGTGATAAAGGTTAATGTATACTCAGTGGGCTTTATTTCCTTTCTGATTTTTTTTTTAACAGCTGTGTAGCATCTTGTGTTTTATATAATACATTTAAGTATTTCTCATTAATATCTCAGTATATAACCATCCATGATGTGTTTAGTTATGCTGCAACATTTGCATGCCCTACTTTCTCTTGCAGCATGCTGCAGATTTATTTTCATTGCTTATTATTATTATTACTATTGCTATTACCAACCAGGGGATTAGTTCAGGTAAAGTTTTTATTCCTTTTGTTTTCTTGTGATCTTGTAACCTCTATCGGTTAGATAGATAGCTAAAAGAAGACAGCTTAGTGAGCAAAATGTACCACATATTTCATTTTGCAAAAATTAACGGTTTAGGTAGAGTATAGGTGATGAAGGGTGTTCTGTGTGAGTGAAAGTGCAAATCATCTGTATATGAATATTGCTAATGTTGTGTGAGAGATCTCCCCCAGGACAGAGCACAGTATTTTTAGTTCTCCTCTTACACTGATGTGTTTTGATAGTGTCATTCCAGTAATAAAACTTAAAAGCTGAAAAGACTGTAATTCCTCGAGATCATCTTGTCAGTGATGGGCAGGATTTTTTGCAAAAGGAACATGTGACACCGCAGGGTATGATTTCATAAGACAGTGGAGATCAGAAGGGAACCAAATAGAAGCCAACAGCAGAATCTAGTTACGGAATTGGCTTTCTGGAACTTCAATCTCTGGACATCACTGCATGATCTATGAGAAAGTTTCAGTTTGGGACTACTTACATGTATTTAATGTCTTATTCGCTTTTCTTTTTTTCTTTTTTTTTTTTTTTTAGAGTATTACAATAACACAATATTTCACAGAGTAGTGCCTGGCTTTATTGTGCAAGGGGGTGACCCCACCGGTACTGGATCAGGAGGAGAGTCAGTCTATGGAGCTCCTTTCAAGGTGCATATTTATATCTTACACATTAATTTGTTTGTTATTCTCTATCCCTTGTTCTTCCTACCAAGTTCTGAAAAATCGAATCTTATGTGAAATGCATACATGTGCAGCAGTTGCCTTCCTGGTGCTGCTTCTGTATGTTTGAATATGCTCTTCTAATCTGAGAGTTCTTTGATCTAGCTGCTGTGGTATAATGATGAACCTGGGGGCTCAGATCCTGAGTGAAGCTACACGCAGGCTCAGCAGCTGTGTTCTGTTCTGCCTGACTGTTTTATTTCAGGTGAGGCAGACTCCTCTAATTTGTGACTGAAGCTGCAAAGCCTGTTTCTGGGCCTTCCATCTTCTTGCTGCTAGACTTTTACATCTCGCATGAACCTGAAGTTTGTGGGAGGGAATGGTACCTGAGCAGAGGACTTAACAAAAATTACCAATATTGTAGTAGTATTGCTGCTTCAAAGTAGTGGTATCAGTATTGCAGTGTTTAGCATCATGATATTACAGTGGTATTCATCACTTTCTCCTTGCTTTGAAAGGAGTCCTATTTTGTCTTCCTAATTCCAGATAATGTTTTTCCTATGGATTTTTTGCGTTACTCTACTATTACAACCTGTTATTGTGCTTTCAATAACTTTACATTAATTAGGATTTTAATGAATTATTTATATAAGTACAGTGATTGTCGAAAATAGTATTTTTGCAAGAAGTGTATGAAATGCATTACTTTTAAAAATGTTTTTATTTTCTTAATACCGGAGGGATAACAAATGCAACTAAAAATAATGAATGACAATTGATTTTTAGGCACTGACTGGAAAAAGATAAAATTAACAAGATGGAACTTAGAATTTTTATAATTAGTAATCTGTCTTTTTGTTATTTTAGTTTCTAATTTTCTGTTTGGTGTTTGTTCTTTGTGTGTTTATGGTTTCGTTTGAAGAGTCTTCATTTGTTTGCATCATTATAGGCATTAGGGATTAGAAATACTGACTAAAAATAATTTTTGCTTCTGAAAGTAGGAGCTTTTAAACATAATTTCTGGCACTGAGTTTCAAAATACTTGGGATTTATTAATGTCTGAATTCAAAAGAAAATTAACAGCTTTTTTTCTGTTTATGCATGTTGGTGTAAAGAATATCACTCCTATCACACTGCAGCTAAAGGAGTGAAAAAAACCAGTTTTATACTGAAGTTTTTCTCTTTTCTGTCCTGCGTTTACCAGGATGAGTTCCACTCACGATTGCGATTTAATCGAAGAGGACTTGTTGCCATGGCAAATGCTGGGCCCCATGATAATGGCAGTCAATTTTTCTTTACATTGGGTCGTGCAGATGAACTTAACAACAAGCACACAATCTTTGGAAAGGTCTGTTACACGAATTGAAGTCCAGTTTAACTCTGACAGAAGCTACTAGAAGTCTCTCTGTGGGCCGATTTAGTATTGTTTGCTGCTATGTGCATTTGAAATTTATTTCAGTGCTTTCTAGGCTCTCTCCATTATCTTTGTTTCTTATATCTGGTGGAAATGTTTCTGGAGGTTGTTCCTGTTGTTACCTATCTTGCTGTTGTTATTCTTCTAAATTGTGTTTTCATGTTGTGCTGCCTTTAAGTAATTGTATTAGTATTATTATGGCTCTGTTATTAATCAATTATCTAATACTAATGACATGTTAGAAAATTCTGTTTATAATTAATTAGATTCTAATTACCCAAGAAGGATCAGAAAGATGAAAAACATGAGATGAATTTACCACTCTCATGATTTACTTTAAAGAAAATAAAACAAATATTTTTTTTATTGCAGTGATTTTTTTCCTGTTTCATAGTTCACAGTAAGACTTCAACATCTTCCTCTGCATACATTCTCAAAACTACCTGTATTCCTTCAACTTTTGCCATTAAATTTAAAATCCCAAGCTTTTGTCATTGCACTTGCTTGCCTTTAAAAAATCTTACGTGCTTACAATATTTCCTATATCACTTGTACTTTCAAAATTTTTACAGAATGATTGCCTTGTATTTTGCAGAATAAATAACACAAATTACAGCAAAG